ATTTTTTTTAATTAAAAAAAAATGCAACTTCCAGGGGTTCTCATGCAGTCAATGTGGGGTGGTGCCCAAGAAATTTGCATTTTTAACAAGCATCCTCTGGGGATCCTGATGCATGTGGTTCCTTAGACTACTCTTAGGGTCCAAAACTCGGAGGGGTCAGAGCAAGAGGAAAGTAGACAGGAGGGGGTAGTGACCTGCTCCCAGCCCACACTGGGGCACAGCAGGTGCAAATGCCCTCCTTTGAGTCTCCTCATCTCCCCTGCTGGGATCTGCCTGATTAAGTTTTCCTCTCTTCAATTGCTAGAGGGTTTCTTCCTTTTTTTTTTTTTTTTTTTTTTTTTGAGACGGAGTTTCACTCTTGTTACCCAGGCTGGAGTGCAATGGCGCGATCTCGGCTCGCCGCAACCTCCGCCTCCTGGGTTCAGACAATTCTACTGCCTCAATCTCCTGAGTAGCTGGGATTACAGGCACGCGCCACCATGCCCAGCTAATGTTTTGTATTTTTAGTAGAGACGGGGTTTCACCATGTTGACCAGGATGGTCTCGATCTCTTGACCTCGTGATCCACCCGCCTCGGCCTCCCAAAGTGCTGGGATTACAGGCGTGAGCCACCGCACCCGGCCCTTCCTTTTTTTTTTTAGACAGAGTTTTCCCTCTTGTCGCCCAGGCTGGAGTGCAATGGCCTTCTGGGTTCAAGTGATTCTCCTGGCTCAGCCTCCCCAGTAGTTGGGGCTACAGGCGTGCACCACTACACCTGCCTACTTTTTTTGTATTTTTAGTAGAAATGGGATTTCACCATATTGGTCAGGCTGGTTGTGAACTTCTGACCTCAGGTGATCCACCCGCCTTGGCCTCTCAAGGTGCTAGGACTATAGGCATAAGCCAACGTGCCCGGCCCAAGGTTTCTTTTACATATAATTTCTATCCTTCACTCCTCTGCTCCATGCTTTTCTGCAGCTCCCACCGTTCTCAGGTGAAGTCCAAACTCCATCTGCATGTTTTTTAGTTGCGTTTTAGGGCAGACAGTAGCCTCAAGGCAAGTGAGAAAGGGTTGTGGAAGTTCAAGTTCATATTCTGTAAATTTTTGATATTTTGTTTATTGTGGATTTTTGCACTATTTTTATTTTAAAAGACCAGGCGTGGTGACTCATGCCTGTAATCCCAGCACTTTGGGAGGCCTAAGAGAGCAGGTCACTTAAGGTCAGAAGTTTGAGACCAGCTTGCCAACATTGTGAAACCCCATCTCTACTAAAAATACAAAAATTAGCTGGCATAGTGGTGGGTGCCTGTAATCCCAGCTACTCCGGAGGCTGAGGTACGAGAATCTGGGAGGCAGAGGTTACAGTGAGCTGAGATCGTGGCACTGCACTTCAACCTGGGCGAAAGAGTGAAACTGTGTCTCTCTCTGTTACCCAGGCTGGAGGGCAGTGGCGCGATTTCGGCTCACTGCAACGTCCACCTACCGGGTTCAAGCAATTCCCCTGCCTCAGCTTTGGGATTACAGGTGAGCACCACCATGCTCAGTTAATTTTCATATTTTTAGTAGAGCCAGGTTTTCACCATGTTGTCCAGGTTGGTCTCCAACTCTTGACCTCAAGTGGTCCAGCTGCCTCGGCCTCCCGAAGTGCTGGGATTACAGGCATGAGCCACTGCACTTGGCCTATTTATCTTGATTACCGAGTTTTTCGGCACCCTCTCAAATTCTGTCCCAGAGGTCAGTATCTCATCCATGTCCTGGGCTGCTTAGAGATTCTCTGGAAAGGGGAGACCCTCCCCATCTCCCTTCTTCTTCTCCAGGGCCAAAGACAGCAGGGAACAGGACAACTGTTTACATCTGCTCCTGTCCTGGAGACCCCCTGAGATTGGACAGCTGAGCCTGTGGAAAGGGGTTCTCCACCCCCAAGTAGGCAACCACCCACTCTCCTCCAGAGGGAATGAGGGATCCATCTCAGTTCTCATCCCTGACCACTCCCCTTCAGTTCTGATTGTATAACCTGAAGCCCACACACATTTGTAACCTTTTTAACCTGTCTGGCTTTTCCACAGGGAGGGCATTTGCACATGCTGTACCCTGTGTGATGAAAGTAGCCCCTTTCACATACCCCCTCTTTCAATGCACTCAGACTTCAAAACCCATCACTCATTCATTCAACAAACGCCCACTAAGCACCTCTTGAGCCCGGTTCAGCTCTCTCTCCTCCAGGCAGCCTCCCAACCTCAGGCACTCACCCGCCACCTCTGAGCTCCTCCCGAGACCCGAACAGCCCTGCTCACTGCTCTTGTCAGCTGGAAAATATTCCTGTCTAGCCGCGTTTCCCCCCCAGCCCTGCCTCCTTTCTGTGTCTCTGAGAAAGGTTGCAAAACTGGAGGTGACAAATGTGGGAAGGAAATGGAGTGCTCCCTTATCCGCTTAGGGTCGGCCTCAGCCCCGCCATCCCCTGCGCCACCACGCGGGTGCAACTGGTCAGCGACCCGGGAGCGCGTGGTAAGGCGGGGGGCCTCGCCTGGCTGCCCCTCCCGGACCCTGGCCTGCTGTCAGCGAAGCTTTTGCAGCCCAGGTGTGGGTCCTCTGCCCCGCCGCACTGGCGAAGGCGAAGCCCCACCCCCGGACCCACCACTGCGACGCGAAGGCCGCTTCTGGGGCGGGGCTGAGGCTTCCGCTGCCTCCCTTTCGCACCCAGGACCCCAACCTTACCGACGCAGCCGCCCCTTCGGCCCAGGCTGGGAGGCGCTGCAGGGATCCGACGCTTCGGGTGGCCAAGAACGACATTCTCTGATTCCAGGTCCCTGGCGGGGCAGGCTCCCGTCCCTCACTCACCGACGCCGAAAGTCTGTGGGACAGGACAGGGGCTCCGGGTGCCGTCGGAAGGGCAGCGGACGAAGGACGGCGCTAATTCACTCCACACGGGGCCGGCGGCGAGGCCGAGTCACTCAGTGGCCGCGGAGGGCAGAGGGGAAAGCTGCCAGGGGCGCCGAGGGCGGGTGTGCGGGGGAGCCGGCTCCAGGGAGCAAGGAGCCCACCCGCCTCGCTGCCGCGGCCGCCCTGGGTCGTTCGCCCACGCCTTCCACTGGGTCGCGACCTCCAGATCCAGCTGTACCCGGCTCCTGCCCCTTCCCCTTTGCTGCAGCGCCGCGGGCTGGAACTCAGCGTCCAGGCTGGGGCGTCCAGGGCACAGTCTCAGCTCAGATCGCCCGCGCTCCACCTCGCTCCGCTCGGCCACAGACCCGCTGGCGCTGGGGTCCCGCGGGTGCACGCCCGCGCCGCCCCGCCCCGCCCCGCTCTAGGGAGCCAGAGCGCCGCACCTGGGACGTTCGGACTCGGTGTTCTTTGGACTGCTTTGGGGGATTCCGGCGCACCCCTAGGATGTAGGAGTCTTGGAAGCTGTTTGAGAGAAACTAGCTTTTGGCGGACCTCGCATCCGGTCTCCTGTCTCGGCTTTGGACCGGGGTTCCGGGTTAAGGTGCTCAGAGCAACAGCTGATCCTTCTACCCTTGGGCAGGGCAGAGATCTCCAAGCCCCTTTCTAAAATGCGGGATCTTAGCCTTTTTTTGGAAGTCAGTGAACCTAGACTCCCAGTCTCTTGAGCCCGACCAGGAGTAGGGAACTGGGGACCACCACCACGGTCATATTTCTTATGGCCAGGAAGTCCAGGCAGGCTTTTGCCCACTGCAGACGGATCTCTTTCTTCAGGGTTCAAGAAAGGCGCTGTCCAGTAAACCAACCAAGCCTGGCCAGCAGAGCTGCCGCGCAACAAGGTTCCCAGTGTCTTCCCCACACCCGCAGTTCCCAGTGATACAGGACTTAGACCCAATTCCATCCCTTCCCCCACCTTCCTGTCCTGTTGCCTCATCTTTCCTCTACACACTCCTGGCCATCCTGGAAGTCCAGACCCAGCCTGCCACCACCACTTCCACCGTGGCCTCCCCCGAGAACGAGTGGAGGGCAAATAGAGTCCAGGCTTTAATTCATTCGTCTGAAAAACAACTCGAGCCAAATCTTGTGGGAGCAGTGCCTGCCTGGGGCACCGCAGGCTCACGTGCGCCTCTGAATTCCTTCCAGCACCTGCCCCAAATGTAAGGAGGCCACCCAATGCCTGGGCCCCTCTGAGGGGGCTGTCTCTTTTTGTCTCTCACCTTCCTCTGGCATGGCCAGAACTTGGTCCTCAGTCCAGAAAAGGTGCCTCCTGGGTTTTACTAATGCCAGGAGTCGCACAAATACTCCTATATATGCACACAGCGAGAGGGCCCTCGCATGCTTAGAAATCCTAAGATACCAAAGAACAAAGTGCAGGACACAACATAGATACTGTACACACTGAGACCCCCAAATGCAGAGAAATGCACACCAATGTACAAAGACACCCCTCACAGACACCTTCACAGAAACAGACACACTCACACTCCAAGAAATGCTAAGACACCCACGAAAGAAACATTTCAGACACACACAGGACCCTGAACTCACATAGACACAGACACCCAGGAGCAGGTGGGTCCTGACTCAGGTGCACACAGCCTAACACACAGTATTCACACAACAGCTCCACAGAAAGAAAATTCCGACAGAGGCCTCCAAGGCCCTGCCTGAAGGAAGGAGAAGAAAGTGCCTGCCAGGCTGGGGAATGCTAAGGCTCTCTAAAGTGAAAATCATTTCCCAAACTCCGTGGGAACAGCACTTCCATTCCCTCCTCTTAGGGAAACAGGGAAGTGGTTTAACTCGTTCTGCAGATCAGCTCCAGATCCACAAGAGCGTCCTCCCCGTCGGTGGAGAGAGGCCAGACTCCCAGCGCTGCAGCCCAGTGAACGCTGACCCGCTTAGGCCCACCCCAGGCTAAAGGGTGCTGGGCAAACTCATCAAGCTCTCACCTCTGTCCCACCTCTGGTGGACACCCAGCTTGGCGACACACAGGAGGCACAGCAGGTGAAGAAAATGGGTCTATGCACTCGGGGCCTGCACCATCTCACCCGGCTCTGCCCTGACGATGCACACCGTTCCTTACCTTTTTTGATCACGGACTGGTCTAGGAGGCTCATTCCCGGATCATCCATCGCCTGCAAATAGGAGAGGGCGGCGGTGAGGGCGCATAAAGACCTAGTCGTCCATGGCTTCGCAAGCCCCTGCGACCCCAGGTCCGGGTCTGCTCCGTACGATGCTCGGCACCTCCGCCTAGGACAGCAACGGGCAGGCCCAGGAATCGCCAAGTCTAGGCACCGAGCTAAAACCGTGAATATCTCACCGTGCAGTGCAAAAAAGGGAAATTTGAACCTTAAACCGGTAACTATAAGGCCTCTCTTCGCCCCAGGTGCAGGCTGCCCCACGGATGCCATACGTGGCTCAACGGCCCAGAGGGGAGAAAAGAAGTGATTCGGTCCCGCAGAGGGTCGCCACCACCAAGGCGGCGGACTCGGTGCCGGCGGACTCAGTGCCAGGCAGCCTTGATGGCCAGGCACCGTCTAACCCAGGAGGTTGGACGCATCCTCGGAGTCACCAGTGAGAAGTGGCGAGCTGGGAGAAAAGTCGGGTTCCTGCGTTTGCCACCTTCTGCCTCCAGCCAAGGTACTAGTCCCTACCCATCCCGGACCCCTCGGGTCTCACCTGCAGGTCCTCCAGACCGGATGCCGCCGCCAGCCCGGGAAGGCCGAGCGGTGCGTCTGCCAGGCCGTGCGCGCCGTCGGTCAGGCCGTGCAGGAGCCGGGGCACGGCGGCGGCGTAGTCACGGCGCGGGTCAAGGCCCAGGGCGCGGGCAGGCGGTGCCAGCAGGCCGGGTGGCTCCTCGTGGGCGCGGGCGGCGGCGCGGGGCGCGACCCAGGCGGCCTGAGGAGGCTGCGGCTGCGCCAGGGGCGCCAGGCCGGCATATGGGTCTCCTGCCAGGTGGGGAAAGGCTGCGGCGGCGTCGGGCGCCTGGCCGTAGGGCAGTGGTGGCTGCGGGTAGGGTGGCGGGAAGTAGGGTGGCTGGAAGTCGGCGGCAGCTGCGGCGGCAGGCGTGTGGCAGAGAGGGGGCGCTGGCCCGTAGGCCCCCTGGGGCAAAGACGACAGGCGGGCCCCGCCAGCCGCTGCGCCCAGCCCGTCGGGGCGCTCCTGGGGAAGAAGATGGTGCGTTAGGTGACCCGCTGGAGCTGAAAGGACCCCAGCCCGAAAGGATCCTCCTCAGCTCGGAGGGTCCAGCTGCCGTCCCTCACGCTTCCTGGGGCCCGAGATTATTTCCGAGTCCACCGCGGGCGCAGGAGCCTCAGGCTAGGGACAGCGGTCACTTGCGCCTCGCGTTCTCAGCTAGCGGAGTCCCTGAGGCCCCCTCCCTCCGAGATTTCGTTGGCGCGGGGCAGGAGGGTTGGAAAGTCCAGCACTCAGGCGCCCCAATCCCCTGGCCGAGTATGCCCTGGGCCCCGAGACTACTCACCATGGCGGAGTAGGTGTGCACCAGCATCGGGCGGTGAGCACGGGGCGCGAGGCGTGGCGGCGGCGGCGGAGCCCTGGCCCGACGGCAAGTGCTGCGGGCAGAGGCGCGGGGAGCCGGCACAGCCCGCGGGGGTTGCGGTGCAGTAGCTTGGGTGCGACCCAGCCGCGATCCTAGTGGGCGTGGGGTCCTCAGCGGTGGCCGTCCCCGGACGGGTCCATGGAGGCGGGACGGACGGGCACTGATCGCACTTAGAAAAGTCGGTCAACGGGTGCCCAGCGCCCGCCCTTCCTCCTCTGAGCGCAGCCTGCTCCATGCACTCCAGTTATAGTGGCGGGGGCGCGCCGGGCCTCCGGGGGCGCGCATTAAAGAGACAAGCTATGGCAGTTCTCTCCCTTTTCCCCAGCGGCCACCAAATGGGAGGCGGTGGCTTTGGTGGTGGGATCGGGTAGGGTGGGTAGCGGGGCGTGAATTAGCCCACGTTGATGTGAGCCGCCTTCTGGGCTCGCAGCTCGCAGCTGCAGTGAAACAGAAAGATTCGAGGCTGGGACGCAGGGGCCCTGCATTTGCTCGGCTCTGTCACATCCTTTCCTTTAAGCAAAGCACTATTCTTTGCTGACCTCAGCTTCCTCTGTAAAATGGGTATCAATCATTTCTCTAAGAACCTCAAGAGACTTTGGATGAGGTGGGCAATCATGAGCGTGGAAGTTTGTGAGCTGCCGACTCAAGCCTATCTGCTCATGTGCACATGTGTGTCAGTGTTTGTGTGTGTTTGTGTGTGTGTGTGTGTGTGTGTGTGTGTGTGTGTAGGGGGGGTACCATCACAGTCTCTACTGAATGGATCAAAATCCCTCTAAGGTGCCTACTTCACTCAGGCTTCCTGGGCTGAAAACTTCCAATGCCAAGCCAGGCTCTGAGACAGTTGAACACACAAGCTTGCCAGACAAAGTTGCCTGGGATGGGTTTGAGTATGAGCTCCACCTGACCAGGGGCCAAGATGCTTCTGAAGTCACAGGGGCCTGGGCTGATTGAGTGTGGGCTTGAGATACCCAGAGACTGTTGAGTGACTGTGTGTAAGTGACTCATGAGGGTGCCGTGTGATTGTTACGCTAGCATGCACAGGCTACGTGTGTGTCTGTTACCATGGCAGGCACTCCCTGACTGTCAGGCAAGTTCCAGTCTCTATAGTCACTCTCTTTTTTTTCTCCCCAAACCCAACCTTCCCCTCCTGAGAAGCAGCGACAGGGATTAAAGACGGACAAATGAGAGGGGAATGCTAAGGAGAATGGGAATTAGGAAAGAAGAAAGATGTTTCTAAAAGCAAGAAGATGTAGCGAGTAGACCAGGGCAAAGTAGAAATAATCACAGCAGACTTATTACAGAATGTGCCAGCCTCTGTGCAAAGTGCTTCACGAATATTGGATTATTTAACCCTCACAGCAGCTCTATGAGAAAGATACCGATATCATCTCCATTTTCAGGGGAGAGGTGAGGTTAAATGGCTTGCCCAAGGTCAAGCAGCTAAGTTAAGTGGCAGAGCTGGGGTAATCAGCCCCTGCCCCTCTCTGCTCAGAATCGCTATTCTCTACTGCCTCAGACTCAGGGGCTTAGATTTAGTCCTGACTCCAAGTGACTGTGTGATCCTAGCTACGTCGCATTTCCTCTGTGATCTCAGTTTCTGCAACTTCCAAAACACCAATAAAAAAGTAGAGGAAGGCAGAGAGGACTAGTTGTTTTTTTAGGTTCCTTTCTAGTAAGGTAGTAAATGAGATTAAGGTAAAATTATTGATATAGAAGAGAAGGTGATAGTGACACCATTAACTCATGGAATGTATGATCCCAAGTGGGTATCCCAGAAGATGCATGACAGGTCCATAGCTCAGGGCTGGATGATCTCAGCCAGGGGAGCGATGGGGAAAGAAGGAGGCTAGAAGCCAAAGTTTCATCATTAAGAACTTTCCGAAGTCTGGAACTGCCAGCAAGGATGCCACCATCCACATGAAGCAGAATTTGGAAGCTCTCTGCAACCTTCCTGCTCAAGACAGGTCTGAGATCAGGAGTGTGTTTGTGTGTATCTATATATGAGGGAGTCTGTGGCAACACCTCTTCCTCCCATCCTCAACCTCAGCCACAGGACATCAGAAGTCAAGCTCCAGGACAGGTGTCGGTGCATGAATAGAAGCTGGTGGACTCCTTCAGGAGATGTCTAGGAGCAGTGAAGGAGATGATGCCCATGCCCCTGCTCTCTCCAGCAGCTCGGGAAGGCCAGAGTGACGGGATGCACCGCCTGTCTGTGGCTTCATTGGGTTCCCCCACTCTACTTCCTACAGCTTGTGGTAGCCCCTTCTTGCCTCATTCTCCTACTCTGATCATTTGTCTTCTTTTCTGTCTCTTTTTCCACCTACGTGCTTAATGTCAGTAATTCTTTCTCAGAGCAGAGAAGCTTCTGCTTTTTCTTCCTATCTACACTCTTTATGAGTGAGCTCATCCCCTCTCAAGTGGTTTTTGTTGTTGTTGTTGTTGTTGTTTGTTTGTTTGTTTTAATACAGTCTCACTCTGTTGCCTGGGCCGGAGTGCAATGGGGTGATCTTGGCTCACTGCAGCATCCACCTCCCGGGTTCAAGCCATCCTCATGCCTCAGTTTTCTGATTACCTGGGATTACATGTGCACACCACCACACTCAGTTAATTTTTGTATTTTTAGTAGAGACAGAGGTTTCACCATGTTGACCAGGCTGGTCTCAAACTCCTGACCTCAAGTGATTGCCTGCCTCGGCCTTCCAAAGTGCTGGGATTACAGGCATGAGCCACCACGCCTGGCCCAAGTCTTTAATGACTAGCTGTCTGCTGTTATCTCCCAACTGTCTTATCTCTGACCCTGATCTCTAATGAGAGATCCAAACCCATAGACACAGCTGCCAGTTGTATATTTTCTCCAGACAGCTCATTTCAGCTATCTGAAATTTTCCACGTCCAACACTGAACTCAGCATCTCCATCCCAGCCACCAACCCCAACCTGCTTCTCCTATGCTCTGTAGTTTCATAAATGCCACCATCATCCTTCAAGTTCAAAACTTGCTAATCATCCCAGAAAAGTCTGGGTCCTTTTCTTAACCCCCACAAGCTAATCCTTCTGGAGTGTTGCCATTTCTAACCCTTAAACATCCACCCTCAGAAGGTATGTGGTGGAGAATTGAAGCAGGTATCCCAGAGGGCACATGGTATCCCTGTCCCAGCACCTTAAACTACCTTACTGTTACTCATAGATCAATGGCTCTCAAATGGTCTCTTGAGCCCAGGAGTTTGAGACCAGCCTAGGCAACATAGCCAAAGTGTGGTTCCTGGACCAACATCACCAAGAATATCTGGGAGCTTGCTAGAAGTCCCAATTCTCAGATCCCACTCATGACCTCCTGAGTCAGTAACTCTGGGGGCGGAGCCCAGCAACCTCTGTTATTAACAAGTCCTTAAGGTGGCTGAGAGGCACACTAAGGTTTAAGAACCACTATCTAGGCATTGCCAACAACTCTCTAACTGGTCTCCTTACTTTATTCATACCTGTTCTGATCCATTTCCAATTCCATTCAGCAACAAGGGGAACAGGATCATGTTACCTCCCTACTGAAAATTTTCCTAGGGCTCACTATGACCCATCTTCAGGAAAAAAAAGAAAAAAAAAAAAAAGTCCAAACATTCTAATGAGTATTCCAGACTCTGCAGTTGCGACCAATGTTCTTTTCCTCTTTCAGGAACTGCTTCACAAGATTAAAAGAGAAACAGAAAATGTGTCTAGCACTGTGCTTGGTACATGACAGGTAATCAATGAATGCTTGTTAAATACTGTAAATGGTAAATCAATAGATGATGCTATGAATCCATTGGCCTCTTAAGTGATCCTTTCGGAAGGTTCTATGTGAACATGACCCTGGGTAGCTACACACAGAACCTGGGTGTGATCTGAAGAGATCATCTGATAAATGAATGATTTTGACTATGGCTACTGGGGAGAGGGATATTCTTCATGGTCTGCTGCTGCTTTGAGGCTCCCTAAAACATCGCAGTCCCTTGGTTTCAGACTCTGTGGACTACTTCTTTCAGTGCCAAGAGACTCCTCACTTTCTGAGGCATGGAGGTAGAGATTTCTGGTTGTCTGCTCCCTGGGACACATGCACACATGTGGAGGCCCTGGGGTGCATTGGGGTACACATGCAGACAGCCTTGGGAACATGGGGCACACAACATGCACAGAGACATTCATGGGAAACACAAGTACACAAAGAGGCAGAGGACATATATTGACAAGTACACATAGGAACATACGGGTGCATGCTCAAACATCCGTGGACTCCCATTTGGCATACTTGGCATATTGCTCTTCTCCCAGGCTCCCTCTCTTTTCAAAAAGTGACCTTGCATTTGGATTTTATGTTAAGAAAAAATTCCGATCTGCCTCCTTTATTGTTGAGACAGCCACCCTTGTTCTAGCCTTTGACCACCAATTGCTCCAGGTCAGGCTGTCTGAAGGGTGGGGAAATCTGGCACAAGGAGGTGTCAAGGCGCCATCTCGTGGTTAGATCTCACAACTGCAGCTCAGATCTCCCTTTTCCCCACTGCTGAAATACCAAGAGCAAGCCAGAACTCTCTGACGGTATCTCATTTAAGCACAGAATTCTGTCTGCCTTGTATTAGGAAACTTTGCAGGGTTTGCCTTCTCCGCTAAGGGAGGGAGAGCACCTTGACAGCAGGGACCATGGGTGGCTGTCACTTTCTTTGGGACCTTTCCCTTCTCTTTTCACTTCCCCGGATGATCTCAGTCCCTCCTACAACTTTAGGGACCCTCTCTACTGACAATTCCCAAATCTGTCACTAGCCCAGACTCTCTCTGAGCTCCAGACCGTAAAAAGCAACTACCCCTTGGCTATTCCGTGAGCAGCACAAATTCACCGTTTTACCAATCTGAACTGTGTATGGTATGCACAAATCTGTCTGTCCCAGTGTTCCCAGTGACAGTGAATGCCCCACTATCCACTCAGTGGCTCCCAGATCAAGAATTTGGGAGTCATCCTTGATTCTGCCCACCCTTTTCTTTATCCCTCTTCACTTCCAATTAATCAGCAAGTTCTATTAACTACTACCTATATCTTCTCCATCCTCATTGCCATTGGCTTAATTTGGACACAGGGCCTCCTCTGTCAGCTCCCTGGCTCAGCCATTCCTCTTGCAGGGGAATCTTCCCAAAATGCAAACGGGATCACATTCAATCTACTAAACCATCTGCAAGCTGGCCGGGCATGGTG